AGTGACCAGTTATCAGTGACCAGTGACCAGTGATCAGTGACCAGTGATCAGTTATCAGTGACCAGTGATCAGTGATCAGTGACCAGTGATCAGTGATCAGTGACCAGTGTTATTATAGTTGTTTTTAAACCAAAACAGGTTTTAGAGTCGTGGCCAAAAAGTTAAGGTATGAGCAGGATCAAATATGGTGTTTAAAAAATAACCGATTGTTGTACAATAAACATTTCAGCCTTTTCTTCCTGGTAATAAGACACTTTATAATGTGGTGAAATAACCGAGGGCATGATTTTTTATTCTTACCTCTCCTTCTTTCTTTCTCAGTCTGCTTTGCTGCTCCCTCTGCTCTTCTTTCTCAGCCTTTACTCGACACAGCAGTTCCCCCATGTTCTGGTTTTTCTGCTCAGCAAGGGCGAGGGCTGCTTCTGTCATCTGCATTCTGCTCAAAAAACAGGATTTGTTCAGAACATATGGCTGGAAAGTTTCCTCAACCAACTAATCGTTTGAACTGTAACAATCCTTTTCGTCAATCAAATCTAAAATACATCAAATATTTCAATCATCTTATCATCTTATTTATTGAACACATACAATTTTTTTTTCTTCACTAGCTCTCTAACAAGGTGCACACATTCCTTCTCGCTCCCTGTTTTCCTTCTCATTTCTCCTGAAATGAAAACTACTGTTTTGGATCTGACCAACTGGACTTTCAACGTATGTTACAAAATCTTTTCAACAAAGCAGCAGGGTCCTGGAGAACCCTCACCTGCTCAGACGAGATGCATGCAGCTGGATATATCTCTGGGGGTGTTGTGTCCTATCTCTGCTATCGACCGAGAACGCTGAAATTGCATATAATTAGATTTATGATAACAGGTTTCCTGTTTTTGGAATGGTCTGGATCCTGGTTTATCAACATACAAAAAAGACGGCCACAACTAATTTGGACCTCGACAGGCTGCTGCCTATGTGAAGGTTTGGTTCGTGCAGGAGGACTCAAAATCGTCTGATTTACGAGCGAAACCGTAAGTTGGAAGTGATTTGAATCTTAGGCCACCTGCAGCTTTGGGACTCATCGGCATGAAAACGACCTTGAAGAGGCTCGTAAGCACGGACCAGTAGAATGCACCTTAATCTGGCCATATCTGACCTTGGAAATTATCAGTACAGTCTCAAAGGCTGACAAGGGAAAATAGTCTGCCTCAATAAATCAACAATTGTGGATTATCTGAATCTGACTACCCCGACTGGCCTCAAAACAAGCTGACTTATCATTTTCTCCTGGGAAATGTGTAAATTAAGGAAAAGCTTCGTCTACCGCACACCCCCCCCCCCCCTCTTTGGCGTCTTATCAATAATGTGCCAGCTGACCATCATCTTATCATCTTATCAGGACAATGGACTATCTGTTAGTGCTTCATGGACCGCCTCTTTGTCAATGCATATGTAACGTGTTCATAAATGTGCTGCTGGCAGAGTCTTTTGATGTCTTAAATTGTGTCCTGTTAGGACAAGGCGTGAAGAGATCTTTTTTGTAATGCCATTATCCTCTCCTCATGGCTTTGACCCTTTTTCTATCTAAAAATGTATTCTGAAAAGGATAAGAAGTTTGCACTTTATACCAGCAGCTACGTGCACTCCGTTCATCTTTCGGACAACTGTACGTACATGTTCTCGTTGTATCTCGGTGCAATGATAATAAAGATTATTCTGATTCTGATAAAATGCTTTGAACAGACATGACAGGACACTAATAATTTAAAGCATTTTTTCCAAACGTTCAGTGGGCAAACATAGAAGCCCTGGCAAATAATAAGGAATAACAACCCTTGGAGGTGGTTCTTTCACTTGCTTAATTTTGTATAATTAAATTTTAGAAATGACACAAAACTAACATTTTTCAAAATTAAAAATTTCCGGCATTAACAAAAAAATAAATAGAAAGAAATATAATTGTTGCAGTCAGTCAAATTTGCTTTATTTTAGCGTAAGTAGAGGAAAGAATTATGGAATAACCAGAACAACACTGCATCACTAGTATTTGTTGCACCACACATTGTTATACCTGCTGGATGGCACACACATCTAAACCTTTAGGATTTCTCTAATCAGTAGCAAGTGTAAAATCCTCTACCTTCTACTATAAACTTACATATATGTGCTCACATATACACATGTCTTTATATGAGTAATGATTAAAAAATGAATCACTTAGCAGTGAGAGAGTTGATGGCTGTCTTCCTCTCACTCAAAGCTTCTTGGAGTTGACCAATCTGAACCGAAGTTGACCTAAACACAGAAAAGCAGTAATGAGGTCTTATGTGAAGAAGATACAAGCTGATCATTATTATATTATCTTTTGCACTTAAAAATATAAGCTACTTGTTTAAATATATTCTATATTTTCCAGCGTTAAGAAATGAAAGTCTAGCATCCCATCTTTAATGACAGATGGGTAAATAAAGATCTTTTTCAGATGAGAGGGAAAAAAAACACGAGGTAAAGCTGTTTTAGGCAAACTTTGTAAGAGACTTTATGTAATTAAGCTCATACAGTTTCGTAAAATCTTGTATGATGTGTTAGTACTGAAGATATGACTCTTTGCTAATACCACATCAATGTTTAGCACATGTGGAAATGTGACAAAGTTATAACCATTTTTGTGTTTACTGAATTCAATAACTTGTGGCAACCGAGATAAATTTGGGTGACTTCAAAAGTTGCAGATGTTCATCAAATGAGTAGTTTCTTAGAGTTTCATTAGTATTAGTCCAGTTGGTCACAGGGTATTCTGACAACACGACAGACATATGTCAGGCAATAAATATAGGATTATACAGTGGGGGAAATAAGTATTTGATACTCTGCTGATTTTGCAAGTGTTCCCACCTACAAAGAATGGAAGGTCTGTCATTTTGATCGTAGGTACACTTCACCTGTGACAGACAGAATGTAAATAAAAACTGATAAATAATCACATTGAATAATGAAGGATTAATTTGCTTTTTATTTCATGAAATAAGTATTTGATGACCAACCAACCAGCAAGAATTCTGTCTCTCACAGACCTGTTAGTTTGTCTTTAAGAACTCCTCCTGTTCTGCACTCAGT